TAGAAGATTACCTACGCGCCCTCAGATTTTCCCTGACTAGACCCCCCTTGCTCTGGGCACACTTGCCAAGGCTTTGCTGGACCACTGGACAACTGGACCAGTCGTATTCCACACGCTGGACACCAATCAATGTGACAACCCCAGACCTACTGGAGTATACCACACTTTAATTAAGCTGCCACCAACCATTCCCTATAATGAGTCACACAGACCAGGAATGGATTTTTAACAAACAAAAGAACAAGGTTTATTTAAATAACAAACAGGGTAAATAAAATGATCAAGTAAATAAGATACTGTAACGTGGCTTAGTCTCAATCATACATACAACAGTTTGGTTCACACAGAACACTTTAAAGTAGAGCACAGACCCTGAACCTATCAGTTCTGGCTACCTATAAAGAAACCTGAACCTATCAGGTATGTACCAACTGACACACAGTTGTACTCAGTCTGACACACAGACTCCCACTCCTCAACTCCTAACTTCTCCACACAGGCTCCAAATATATATACAGTACAGCTCCTCCCCCTGATGTCCCGCCTTCCACTCCCCATAGGATGGAACTTTCCCTCCAAACCCATGACAGACAGGTACCATCAGTGCTGTATGTAACAATAAGAAACAGACCAGAACAACACACAAACATTATATAATAATCATGTGCTGTCAAGTCCATTCTTTCTTACAGCGATCCTTTTCAAGGTTTTCCAGGTAGAGAATACTCAGAAGTGGATTACCATTCTCTTCCTCTAGGGGGCGCCCTCTAGGGGGCGCCAGCTGGCCCAAGGCTACCCAGGCTGGCTCTGTTCGCAGGAGGAACAGTGGGGAATTGAATTCCACAGAGCCAGCGGGCCTACTTCAGATAGCACAGAATCTGAAAAGTGACAGCTTTTCAGATGTAGACAAATAGCCGTCAGGAGATGATGGCAAACGATGAATCTAAAAAGCTTCAGATATATATATATTCTGGTAATTTGTGCCCTGCGCACAGGAGTTGCTCCTGTCATAAGCTACTTCACCTTTATAACTCTTTCTCACTCTGGGGTACGCATGGTAAACTTTGGGTCCCTGCTTTGTTTTGGACTACAATTCCCATAATTCCTTATCAGAGGCCATGCTTAATATGGTTTATTGGATTTGGAGTCCAAAGCATTCAGAGGTTCCCTCATCTCTGCTCTACAGAAGACCAGCCTTCCCTAACCTAGTGCTTTCCAAATACGTTTGATTGAAATCTCCATTATCCTCAGCCAGTGTGGACATAAGATGGTGATAATGATGATTTGGAAGGTCCCACAGAGCGGGCAGGCTGCTTTACAGGTTTCGTGGACGTCTATCTTGTTCCTTCTCTCTCTCAGTCCTCCTCCGTTTGGAAGTCCATGTAATGACCCAATGGAGAACAAAGGCTTCCTGCCTTTTCTTCAGCCTACCCCTATCCCGCTGGCTAAATCCCTCCTTTTGCTCTAGCTGGCGGTTTCTCTGTTTTTAAAAATTTCTCCGGCCTATCTCTTGCTTCCAGAAAACCCTTTACGGAGCCAATGTGATCATATTTGAAGGCATCATGGCGTTTTCAGATAAGGAGCTCCTTAAGGTAAGAAAGGGTCTGCACCGTTTTTGAAACTAACCTTCAACTTTTGCCTTTTTTAACAGAGAAAATAAAGGTCCTGGTTCCAATCAGGGCTTAGAAGCAGGAGGGTATTAAATTCTGGAACAGAAGGTTTATATGGGGAGGGGGACCTAGCTCTCCACACTCAGACCTAAAATAATTTGGAGGGGGGGGCTCCCCTGGAAGCCAGTTCTCCTTTAAAAGCAAGGTGCAGGGGGCCACATGTTGTAATATCCCAAAGGGGCATTTTCTGAATGAGGATGTCATTTTGGAGAGATTAAAAATACGGTCCTGCGATTTGTCTCCCTTTGGGAGTGGGATGTAGACAAATAGCCGTAAGAAGATGATGATCAACGAAGAATCTTGTGCCTCCTGAAAGACAAGCGCATTTATCCTTCCATGAGAGCTTGCATTTTGGTGGGGAATGTAGCTACTTGATGCTCACAGTCATGCTGAAATTGCCCAAAGGCTGGTTAAAAGCATGTTGCATTGAGTCTAGAGTCCATCCTAAGCTGGAGTCTCCAGTATTGAAATTTTTTCTTTAAACTGGGATAACAGTGCCCCCTGGTGTGCATCTGACAAATCTTCTGTACAGGAGAGAAGCCGGCACCATGCACAAGCAAAAGGGTGGATCTCAGGTTTCATGTCCCGACTGCCATCGTGTGCAATCCGTTTAAAACAGTTTACAGAGGTCTTCTGCCCCGTCTAGTCTTGACCCCTAAACCTCCTCCCCACAACCCTCCACCCTAATAAACTCACAGCCTGAGGTTGCTGCTGGATTTTGCAGAAAGCAGAAGTGTTTTTACTGATTAAAAAAGTGTGTCCGTTCCAGTTAGCAAAAGATTTTCCGAAATCTTTTCAATGGGAAAATACCCGTATCTCCCAAAGATCCCCTGGGTGTTTGGTTTGCTTTTTGCAGCTCTTCACACACCAGGGCTGCAGCTGACGCCTTCCCTGAGTGTAACCTGAGCGGGCGAAGGTTTATACAAATGAATGGGTGGTCGAGGGGTAAAAAGCGACAGGAATGCAAAAAAGGGTCAGCAAACTGGAGCAAGTACAGAGAAGGACAACAGGGTTGATCAGGGGGCTGGAAACCAAGCCCTAGGAGGAAAGGCTGAAAAAAGTCGGGCATGTTTAGCCTTGAGAAAAGAAGACCCAAGGGAAGACAGGGTAGCACTTTTTAAATACTTGAAAAGCTGTCCTACAGAAGAGGCACAGATGTTCTCCATCGTCAGGGTGAGTACAGGGTGCATAATAATGGACTCAAGTGACAAGAAGCCATATTTAGCCTGACTATCAAGAAAAACGTCTTAACTGTTAGAGTGGTACAACAATGGAGCCAATTGCCATTTTTTAAATACTTGAAAGGCTGTCCTACAGAAGAGGCATAGGATGTTCTCCATCGTCAGGGTGAGCACAGGGTGCATAATAATGGACTCAAGTGACAAGAAGCCATATTTAGCCTGACTATCAAGAAAAACGTCTTAACTGTTAGAGTGGTACAACAATGGAACCAATTGCCATGGGAGGTGGTAAGCACTCCAACGCTGGAGAAAATTGGAAAACGGTCTGCCAGGTCTGCTTTGATTTGGATTCCAGCCTTGAGCCGTGGGGGGAGGTTTGGACTCGATGGCCTGATAGGCTTCTTCCAACTCCATTGCTCTGTGGTTCTAGAGCGGATTAATTGCCATGGGAGGTGGTAAGCACTCCAACGCTGGAGAAAATTGGAAAACGGTCTGCCAGGTCTGTTTTGATTTGGATTCCATCCTTGAGCCCGGGGTGGGGGTGGGGTTGGACTCGATGGCCTGACAGGCTTCTTCCAACTCCATCGTTCTGTGGTTCTAGAGCGGATGATCCTCTTCACCGTCCTCACCCAACCAGCTGCCCCGGGGAAGAAGGAGATCACGACCTCTTTGCGCCAATAAGCAGATTCAGGGTGTGATCACCAGGGGGAATCGTCTGCATTTTAGACAGCTTGCACAGCAATTACATGATGCGCAGGGACATGCGCTCCAGCCCAACCCCAATCCATAGGACTGGAGCAATTCCTTGGCAGAGAAAGAGGTCTCTTTTTCAAAGCGACCTTTTCCAGCGCCTCTTTGTAGCCATCACAACATCATTGAAAATATTTTGTCTCTGTCAAGTATGAAGGGTGGGGTTTAGATTTTACATCTGGATGGGTGGAAGGGAAGGATGGAGAGCCTGAGATGACTGCTGCCCCCTCAACCCCCCAATTTTTCATTCACACTTCAGTGGGGCAGCATCCATCCCTTTTGACATAAAGGTTCCTTCTGGTTTTCTAGAAGTGCAGTTTAGGACCAAAGCACCCACCCAATTTGTTAGCTTTCAGGGTGCCACAAGTCTCTTTCGCTTGATCTCTCTTCCTCTTCCAGCTTCTGGACATGAAGATCTTTGTCGATACCGACTCGGACATCCGCCTCGTTCGGCGTCTGCGTAGGGACATCGGCGAGCGCGGCCGGGACGTCGAGGGGGTGATCAAGCAATACAACAAGTTTGTAAAACCGGCTTTTGACCAGTACATCCAACCCACGATGCGGCTGGCTGACATCGTCGTCCCGCGTGGTGAGTCTACCATCCCTTACTGGTGGTGGGCAGCTCGAGGAAAGGGTCAACCCAGGGTCTGCGTAGGGACATCGGCGAGCGCGGCCGGGACGTCGAGGGGGTGATCAAGCAATACAACAAGTTTGTAAAACCGGCTTTTGACCAGTACATCCAACCCACGATGCGGCTGGCTGACATCGTCGTCCCACGTGGTAAGTCTACCATCCCTTCCTGGTGGGCAGCTCGAGGAAAGGGTCAACTCAGGGTGTGGTGGCAGTGAAGAAGGCCAATTCCATGCTTGTTGTTGTTTAGTTGTTTAGTCGTGTCCATCTCTTCATGACCCCATGGACCAGAGCATGCCAGGCCCTCCTGTCTTCCACTGCCTCCCATAGTTGGGTCAAATGCATGTTGGTTGCTTCAGTGACCCTGTCCAACCATCCCGTCCTCTGTCGTCCCCTTCTCCTCCTGCCTTCACACTTTATCCAACATCAGGGTCTTTTCCAAGGAATCTTCCATGCTAGGGATTATTAAAAAGGGGATTGAAAATAAATCAGCCAACCTTCTAATGCCATTGTACAAAACACTGGTAAGGCCACACCTGGAGTATTGTGTACCGTTCTGGTCGCCACACCTCAAAAAGACATTGTGGAACTGGAAAAGGTGCAGAA